GATTAGTCAATCATCACGATGATTAGTCAATAACTTAGTTGTACTGAAGTTTTATTCCGGCTCACAACAGGGACCCTGCAAAAGTGCAATTTATGAGTCAGGACAGAGGGACAGTGCAAACAAGGCACTGCCTGGTTACCATGGAAGTGACCAAAATGTTCCATATGGCCGTGCTCCATGTGATAGGGTAAACATATGCAGGTGGCAGGCAGTTAGGATTCCTGGGAAAAGGAGTCACTTTCTCCTCAGGAGAAAACAACTCTATACCACTTGGGGTCTGACCAGAGAGCTTCAGTATAATGCAGCTGACCCACCATGACAGGGTTCCACAGATTGGTGGGATTCATCTTCGGTGTTTGCCGAGTCAGTGTTGAAAACAATGCTGTTCTTCAGCTCCAGAGCCTTCCCCCTTGTTTCCTGGGCCTCAGTCTGAGGACTGATGCTCTGTGCTACTTACCCTTGGACTCCTGCTTGACTCTCCGCTAGGCTGTGTAATACACCTGGCTCCTTAAGGATGCTTTGACACCTGACAGAGGCCAATGGAAAGGGCCAGTGGCAAAGGCGTTGTCAGGAACAGTCCAAAGTCCAGAAGTACAGAGGTGATCAAGGAGCAGTCTGAAGTCAAGACCAGGAAGCCAAGACCAGGGGAGGAACTGGGACCCAGGGAGGTCGGGCTGGGCGCAGATACCTGGAGAAGGGAAGCCAGGCAGGGTCCAAGAGCAGGACAAGGCAAGCTGAGCTGAGCTGAGCTGAGCACACAGGTGGGCGGGCAGGCAGTGTCCAGCGAAGTAGGGTAGGTGACTCAGGCAGCAAAGCCCCAGCGGCACCCAGGAACCACAAAGCACCACAGCAAGCCAAGAAGGCCTTTGTTGCCAAGGCCAAGGCTGGAGGGAAGAGCCTGTTCTTATCTAGCTCTTCCCCAGGTCTCCCCCCAGTGCTCGTTGGGGTCTGAGCGCTCCAGCCGAGCTCGGGCCCTTGTCCTGCACTCGCTGCTGCAACTATGCTGGTTCTGGCCACAGGAGGGGGTCCTAGAGCTGTTCCAGTCCTGAAGCTGTGCTCCAAACTGTTTATTTGGAAAACCTACAACAACAACATGTGGTGGCTATTTAAAGGCTGGTTTGAAAGTGCAGATCACACGTTAAGCAGTTTTAAAATGGGCTTGACCTAGTAGCAAATAACATGCATTATAAAACAAATAGATTGCATAGCAGGAGGCTGAGTTGAATGTAGCCCAGATCAATTCCAGGCGCCGGCACAGACAAATATAGTTGCTATTAGTAACAAGTTAAATCTTTGCTATTGAGATCCACCAAATATGAAGTTTGATATTACACTAGGGAAAAAGGTGTTTTGAGTTGTTGACATTTAAAAGTGGAAGTAACAATATTAAGCTTCCCTCTGTCTTTGAATGGAAAAATGTCAGACAATTACCTTAATTCATACGGTGCATCAGAGAAGTTTTATTTTTTTTTTGAGGAAGTGTATTGTGAAAGTGGCACTAAGACGGCATGAGGAAATTGAGAATAACTCACCTGGCATTGCCCTTTTTATAAGTGTTGCCTACAATACTCAAGTCAGTCATTTGCTGCTAAAATGGGTAACTTTTATTCATATTGCAAATTCCATTTAGCCAGCCCCTGAAAGCCAGAGAAAAGTCCATGAAAATCATCAAAGCCAGGTTCATTTGCTACTCTGCACTGTTATTCCGAATGGAACTGAGTATCTTCATATAGTTTTGCAACAAAACCTGAGCATTCCAAATGCAGCCAATCATGGACACACCACAGAAGCAGGCTCAACATCATGCTTCACAATACACTGGGGGAATGGGGCATTTTCCAGGGGCACATTCATTCATTCATTCCTACCCCTCCCTTTCTACCAACAAGTTGGCAATCAATTTCAAACTGAAACAGAAGCAAAACAAAATGAAAAGCACACTTAAAAACACAGTAATGGAATGAAAACAGTACTGAACCCAGTGGAGCTACTTATAGGCCAAAGACCTACAGCAAAAATAAGATTTAAACAAAAGCTTGCCGAAACCACTCCAGTTCATGAAAGTTTACACATCAGCTCTGCCTGCAGTGGCATGATTTCCTTTCTTTGGCTATTCTCTCTTGACTGCCGTTCGGGGCAGGAACCCTCTCAAGGCAGTGTACGACAGCAAGGCTTACACACACATTAACACAAGCCTCAAAAACAGCAGCAACAGGAAGTATTCCAAAAATTGAATGCCAGCATAAGACAAGACCTACAGCACACAACTGCAGCTAAAACGGAGTCCAATCAGATGGGAAGTCATTGATGGACTTTTATTCCAGAAATGCAGGGCCAGTGCAGAAAAGGCCCTGTCTCGTTTACTTGCATAACTGACTGCCTTTGTGGGTGGACAAACTACAAGGGCCTCTCTTGCTGATCTTAGAGTGTGAACAGGTTGATCCAGATGAATGCTGTCCTTAAAGTAATTTGGTCCCACATCACTTAAGGCTTTATAGATCAAAGCCATTTCTTTCACTTGAGCCAGGGGGCACACCAGTAATCAGGGCAGCCGGCACAGTATAGGCTTCATATGATCCGATTGCTTTGTGACCACCGGCGCTTGGGCAGCTGCATTCTGCACCAGCTGAAGCTCCATTTAATCCATCATTCTTACAAGAGCAATGTTGAGTAAGTAAACCTTGACAGAGCACGTGCATTGTGCAGCTCTCACAATTTGCAAACATGACAAAGTGCACCTGAGATTAATTGGCCTGTTATTTTACATTCAAAGATTAAGGCAACTTCCATGTTTTATTACCACTTTTAAATGCCAGCATCTCTAAAAAGCTATATATTCCATAGAAATTCATATGTGCAGAGGTCCCGCCGAAGGATGAGAGAGTGTGGACTCAGCGAAAATGATGGATATAGAGCTTTTAAACAATTCCAGCGTCACGTCCGTGGTTCATCAAAGCCACAGATCAATTTTCTTTTAGTAGTCTGTTTAAATCAAGGAAAATGTTAGCAATATCCATAAGCTAAGTATCTATATAGCGAACAGAAAATCTATAGCTTTGTAGTCCAGAGCCAAGGCATCTTCTCTCTTTTTTTTTAGGGTGCCTCTTTTACCCTAAGGGCAGAGATCCTGGATGGATCTAGCAGCCCTGCTCTGGCGGACTGAGCTGTCAGGACCATGCACACCTCTCCAGAGAGATTCCCAGGCACTGAAGATGAAGCCTTTGTGACTGCTGGCAAAGTTGAAGCTGTTTCACTGTAAGGGCTGGGAGGAGGGGCCATAATACAGTGGAAAAGCACATGCAAAACTCCCAGGCCCAGCAAGTGATGGCAAAAGCTCTCTCCGGAAAATTGGAGTGGACCATGCTGAGGTGGACAGCCACAATGTCCCGGGAGCCCGTGTCAGCCTCTCTGTGCCTGGCTGGCCACATCAAATTCTCTGATCTGGCAATTCATTGCAGCAGCTCTCTGGGGCTCTTGGGAAGAGCGCCCACATTTTTAGTTTGCCCTGGCAGTCCCCATGCCCCAAAGTGCAGGCGTGGCAGAATTAATCACAGAGGCTGCTTTCAGCCATGTGGAAAGCACTCTTTTGTGGCATGGAGCAACAATTCACACAGACAACAACAACGAGACCAAAAGCTCTGAAGTGATACTGCCCTTCAGGAATGTTTGAAAATGGATTTAAAAATGAAAGGATGTGTTGATACAAATTAATTATGTCCTGTGTCCGTGGGGGGCGGGTAGCATGGTGGCACTGGGAACATGGCACAGCCACATGGCCACCTTGGCAGGCTACATGAATTGACCTGCCACTGCACTGGGTGTTACTGTTGAATGTTAAATACACATGTTTCCTCTCCAAAACAGTTCACTCCATGATGGGAAGCATGCCCATATTTTGTTCTCATTCCCACGGTGTCTACACTTGCACATTTCTGCGTTCATATCAGATGTGATAAACTCATGCAATGCCGGGTGCTGTTGGACAGCATCTCCCAGTGGCCCAGTCCAGCATGGGCAGTGCTAAGGCATGATGGGGGCTGCAGTTCAGCAACAGCTGGAGGCCCACAACTCCCCACTCCAATTCGTATGCTGTGCGATGCTGCATCTTTGCACTGGGAAGAGGCTGCCTCGTTGAGGCCATGTTCTTGGTCTGCATGCGCAGACCTCATTCCACAAAGTCACAGCCATTCGGCCTCTTTGGAAAGTGATTAGCTGTTTTCTTATACAAGCCGTCAGCCATTTGTACAATTCTATAGAGCAAATGAGGGACTGTGATGTATTGTTTCAGTTAATATATTGACAATGGTACATTTTTCCTCTTAAATTTGGACACAGCCTTGAAACACTGGCAATACTGAAAGTATATCTTCATTGAGACTCAGTATGACCATGTTCTATCAGATGAAGTCATATTTTCTCTGGGTCCATCTTGGAGCTGTACCAGGATGGTATGTGAGGCAGATTGGTGTATTGATTCCCGAGAAGCACAATGTATTGAAGAAAGCCAGCTCTTTCTCTTTTTAGGTCAACCAACATGGACACTTTCCAAGCAGGAAATGTAATTGGAAGTGACATTTTCCTAATAAATTTTCATATTTGTCCGAAAACATTTTGCATTGATGAGAAAACACTTTTGTTGCACATTTCCAGCCAAGTATCTGAGTGAGAGTCCTTGAGAAATCCCCTAATACTCTGCTTGATTTTCCACAACTGTTAAGTTAAAGGATAACAGAATCTATTTACTTATGATATCTCCCTGGGGTGCTCTGAGGATTAATGAGCGCTTGAAGATGAAATGTATTTGCACACTGTAATAGCAATCTATTACAGGTATTAATTTCCATTTTTACTTAGGTTGTGGATTTTGTTTTCTTGGCACACATTTTCCTCTTACAAGATACATGTTGTCTGACTCCAGATAATAACTATTCAAACAAGATCCTAATTAAAAAGCACTTTTAGCACTTGCTCAATCTGTATTTTCTACAAAATTGATAATGGAGATTTTATGTAATTTTATTAAGGCAGTATGGTCTGGTAGCATATTGCATTCACATAAGCATCTGTTGTGCAAAGAATGTAAGTTTTATTTTTGCAATTTTCTTCTGCACTAGTCATCTCTTAAGAATAATTCAAGGAGAATACTGACTTCATTGTATCACAGCCGCACTGTTAACTCCAGAGAATGTCTCTGTCTTGGTGTTTACTGCACAGTGATACTGTTAGCAATAAAATAAATGCAATTTCTTGTTTAGTAGACCAAGCGAATATTGTTTACTTCTCAAGCTTATGTAAAGACTTCATTGTAGGCGAGTTCTTGGAAGTCTACTGGGTACTTGCTTCTGTTGATATAAAGGAATAAGAAAATAGCTGTATAAGGTTTTGAATTTCAAGCATAATATCCAGCATCAAAAAGTTGCACAACACTTTAAGCCAAAGAAGGTCACTCACTCCAAACCAGAAGAGAGTTTTATAGCTCGTTGCTATGGAGGTAGGTAGGTAGATTTAAAGGAATTGTTATCTTCCTTTAAATTGTCATCTTTTCTTTTTTAAAAAGATATTTCAAGAAGCACCAACAGGAAATATAGGGGAGGTAGAGTGTGTGAAATGTTGAGGAGCATCATGTGACAGAGGGAATTGAAGCAATGGTACATTGACTATTGAAATATTGCTATTTCAGTTGACAAATAAAAGTGTGAAGTTGTTCTTGCGGAAGAAAAATCTGGAGTGTCAAAATTAAGAGAGATGGGGGTGGGAGAGATGGGGAGGAAAGGCTATGCAGGGGGTGGGGACTTTTACTTCAGGCAGAAGTACAGCAGTCCTAAAGGGGCAAATGGGGAGACCATTAATGTGGATATGCTTGGGTGAGATTTGACAAGGAAGTCCCATTATTCAGAAGCCCGTGAAGTTAGACTGCTGGGTGGGGACTTGGAGATCAGAGTTCTAATCCCTGCTTGGCCACGAAGCTCACTGGACAGCACTGGGCCACTCATGGACTCTCAAACTGACCTACCTCACCGGGTTGTTATGCAGATAAAATTGGAGATGAGGACCATGTTAACCATCTTGGGTTTTACGCAAGATAAAAACAGGTAACATATAAATGTAATAATATTCTTTCTTTCTTTTCTTTCTGAGGCAAACACCAACTGGATGTTTTACATTGGAGTGTTTTACTTTATATAAGACATTGCTCAATATGAAGGTGTTCTCTATTTGAAGGTCTATTTAAAGTCTGGTTGAAAGAGAAAGAACCACCAGAAGAAAATCTGGGCCTTCTCAGAAAAATAGACTTCCCCCTAAATGTTCCCTGAAAACTCAAAAAGAGCAGACTTTGTGAGAGCTACTTGCCTGCCCTTCACAACCCTAAGTCATATCCATCACGATGTTCTTTATTCTTTATTTGCAAGGTAAGTTTGGAAGAAGAGGGACATTTGGATAAATGGTAACAGGGAACATCAAAACTTACTGCAGAACAATCTTCTGCAGCCTTCACCTGTCCTTTCCACCAGTTTTCTTCATCATTACGAGAAGGAATGGTTGTCAGTGAGGAGGATCTGATTCCAAACTGAGCTGAATTTCAGAGGAATTGTCCTGAAGCTAAACACAATTTTTGATTCCAATGTTAAAGTGTTCATGGAAAGAATATGAACAGGCTATAAAACAAAGAATGTTGAACAGGCACATTAAACCAAGAACCTAAATTCAAACAACACAATGTAGGTATGCAAAGAATTTATGCTTTCCCACTGAATGCTACATAGGATGCTGTATATAAACTAATTATATTCCCTGATTAACAATTTTAACTGTATTTTTTATTCCTAGCTTTGGGGGTTGCATTTTGTTCCATCTCTGTTTAGCTGGATTTGACTTATGTGACATCATGGAAAAACTGACTAGAAAAATGGATACTGATTATTAAAACATTGGTTCCCAAAAGCCAAATCTAATATATACACTGAAACAAAATCAATTATTTTAACACTGTCCAGGACAGTCTAGCCCTCAGCAACCAAGTAATTTCATGTTGTTCAGGATAGGCTTCTAAAAGATAAGCTGAAAGATAAACAGCAGCACTCTGCCCCTCCACCTCTGCCCCAGATGTACACATGTGGGTGTTATAGTAATAGACTTGCTGAGTTGCGTTAAATCAATCTCTCTCTCTCTCTGTATGTGCATGCTATCAGTACACCTACTTTTATTAAAACCAGAACTTCTAATATATCTCGCAAGTGTTTTCTGTCCTAGAGGTTTCTGTTGGCTTCTGTATTGCAAGCATTGCCATTACCTGACATAGAAATACATTGGAGAAAGGCAGCATCCTTATTAAAACTTGTCTAGTAAATATATGCTTTTCCCCTTAAAAAGCAAGCAATGAATATTTAAACAAATGTCTTTCTACTTGGTCATATCGGTTTGCTTTCTCTAGTACTGGCAGCTTAGGGTGTCTTCACGGCAAGCAGCAGAACCTTTGGGCAGATTTTCCATGTAAGGTTGTTTATAAGATCGAATCTGCATAAGAATTTGCCACACGGGGATAGATTCCTGCTGCCTGCCATGATTGGAGTCTCTGTATGGGCCCTGCACAAAAGCATGAGTGGCTCTGATTGTTTCAAAAGGGGCATGCGCTGTCTCAAAGCCACTAGATGCAGGCACATAATTAAACTGTAGGTAACAGATAATTAAACTGTTAAAATAAAAACCGGAAGATGAAAACCACAAAGGTTTAGTACACACCGAGTAGTATAGAAGGCCATTCTTTCATGATATGCTGTCTGGGGCTCAGCATCTCAGGATGCCAGAGGTAACTTCAGGAATTTGAGCCACCTTCATGGATGGCAGGAATGCCCAGCCCCTTGACTGGTTAACGTTGTTCGAAAGAGCTTGTTTGGGTCTGTAGCACCCTAGAGGGCTGATGGGCTGCTTTTGCTCTATGAGCCTGCCCAAATGAAGAAATCTTTTCGAGATGCCCTTCTGTCAGCCCCACTTGTTTCTGAGCCTAAATGAAGAATAAGATGACAAGGAAAGGACCTCCATTCAGGCAGTGGATTCTGTATAAACTTATCTGAAGTAAAGAAAATGATGCATGCTGCCAATGAATTGAGAACAGTTTCTCTTTTGTAAGGCATGGTGTTCCCTTGCTGTGGTTTGTTGAAATGCTTAATTCTCAATTGTATAGCCAGCTGCTTTCATATTGGAATGACGATCTCTTGGGAGTCAGTGCTAGACACAAATGGAAATACTCTTACAGATATCTCAGGCCAATAAGATAATTTTCTTCCATTATAAAAGCATTCTCTTAATAAGTTTAATTTCACAGAAATGAGTTTATACTTTGATAATGTAATCAGTATTGGTGATTATGAGCCTGTTAATCAGTTCAAAGCAGATCAGCCACAGAATGCAGAAGCAGAAGAGAAAACTGGAGCAAGTGGCTGCCTTAGCAGAGCATGCAGGGTAACTGATGAATTTCTAAGAATCCTCCTTGTGGAAACCCATTTACAAACTTCAATTGTGAACAAAGCCATTTTAAATTGGAGTATGTTTTACTGGACCTGTTATTTGTGGGAGGGTGTTTGAAATAAATCTCCACCCTACTCCAAATGATTACTAATTATGAAGCTATATTACCAAATTGTTTATTCTGCAGTCCCTAAACTCTGTCTGGACACCAAGGAATGACATGTGACTCTATGTTGTTTAGAGATTAGGAAAATGCAGGCGTTCATGATCCATTGGCCAAAAACTATTATGCATATGTGAGACTCTCAGAAGTATTACACCTGGAAATCCATTCCACATTCAGCATCAGATTGCCAGAAAAACCCATTTGCTTTCCATGTTCTGTCCAGACCTTTAACAGAAGTTCTTGTTTTGTCTTAGTTGCGTGTATTAGTAGTTATTGCACATGTTTCTTGCTTGTGGTAGCACTTCATCCCTTCATCAGAGATGTTGTTTGTTTGTATGTATGTGTATGGAACCTTTTTATGCTGTTCCTCAGCCCTCTGCCCCCAACACAGAAAGGTTTCTGGAGTGGCTCAAGAAGAATGAATAAAAGATGGTAAGTATATTACATGAATATATAGAAGTGAGCATGCATACTGCACACAGACATACTGCAAAATTGGTGAAATATTAGCTATTCTACATGATAATATAGTGTTTGTTGCCCTGGCCCTATTTAAAAATAAATAAATAAATTCCTAGATAAAGTTGTACCATATCTGGTAAAAGCAATGCAGATTTCCATGAGCTTGTCTGCAGGTTCAGAAAATATTTAAGTCCTGAATTTCAAAAACAATCATGTATTTGTTGACATATAGGGGAAACCTTAGTAATACCTACTATTAGTATGGGTAACATCATACCTGTGATAACAAATAAATGGCTACCATTGCTCCCAGTGGTTAACAAAGCTCAACAGGAAAACTTTAGTTTCTGGTCTGCTCCTTAGAAAAAGGAGTTTAACAGCTCTATCCTACAGGTCTCCCCACCTCCTTCTCTGCTTATAAATATTAGTGTAATACTTTATGGGTGGAGATATACTAAATCCACGAAAAGCAACAGAGATTTTTGCTGAGTCTCTTGCAACTCTGGAATATAGAGTTGCAGATGGGCAGAAACTTCACATTCCCGTGTGGTGGCTATTTTGGGCAGACCTGGGGGGCAGCCATGTATGTCCTCCACCTCCTCGTAGTTTCAGTCCCCGGGCAATGCCAGGCGTATGCTTGAGATTTCATCCGTGCAACTGTGCCCTCTGTTGGCACAGCTTCGTTGACTAAATCATGCTTCAAAAACACCATCGCTTGCATTTTGTTTACAATTGTAAACACAGCATACAAATATTTTATTTTGCTAGACCACCTGCTTGTTACATTGTAGGTGCTAAATGAACGTTCACTTCTTGCTCTATGCTACCTGTATGGATTGGATTAAAATCTGTGATGTGGATACAAGAGCTATTTTTCATGGTTTCCTCTTTACTCTCTAAGAAAAGCCATGCAAAACAGAGTGTTGGGTTTTTTAAAAATAGTAGTGAAATCATTTGTTAGTAATGATTTGCATATGTGCATTATTTCTGTGTTTCCTCCAGCAAACTCCACAAAGCCATTCCAAAGACTCTTCCATTAATGGTCTATTTATTTATAAAATTCTTACTTATAGCTTGTGATACACATTTAAGAATGAGATACTCCTTTCTATTTGTAGAAAGATTAAAAATAAGTAAGGCCAAAGACAAGTTGACTGGGAAGACAACACTAAGTCTGTTTAATTGGGAGCAATCCAATTGAACTTCCACACTGAAATTCATGCACAGGATTGTACTGCAAAAGACTCACACTTGGCAGTCATTGGACAATATTACCTATTAATTTATTTAAATATTTATATATCACCTCCATTATCAAATCACAAGGTGATAGGCAAAATGCTTTAAAACCTCCATTAGAATAAATGCACAAATATATAAACAAACACACAAAAACACATGCAAGATAGGAATTAAACTCAGAAAATCTCTGCATAAACATATTTTTTTAAGGAGAAGCTGAAACACCCTCAAGTTGTGTGCCTGTCCTATGGCAGTGGGGAAGAAAACACCAAAGGCAGGGTGCTACAACTGAAAAAAAAAAGCATTTCTTCTGGTGACCTGTAGATGGAACTTTGTGGGCAACAGGAGGCCTTGATGTGCAGATGACAGGGAACAGGCAGAGGGGTCCCAGCTTTAGTGCCCTATATGCCAACTGCGACCCTTGAATCCACTCCAATAATTGGCAGCTAGCAGAGTTCTCTGAGCAAAGCTGTTACATGGCCCACTCAGCAAGATGAGTACTGAATTTTACACCAGTTGCAGTTCCTGGACCAGTCTTAAAGGAAGCCCCACAGAGAGAACATGGCAATACTCCAGTCTTCAGCTTACCAGTACCAATGTACGTATCACCTTGGCCAGACTATGATCATCCAGGAATAGCAAAGAAGCGATTGACTCCACTCTTAAGGAGCTTCCCGCCTGCTCACGTAGCTTGAATTTGCGTTCCTTCCCTTCAGGCCCTCCCCCAGACCCTCCCCCTGAACTCAAGGCAGTCGTTTCTCAGCAGCTGTCTGACAAATCTCACTCATTAACCTTAACATGTCCGTGCCACGTTCCAACCTGTCCCCTTCTCCACCCAGTTCACATTTCAAGTCTGAGCATTCTAGCTGGGAATGCTGTGTTTGGAGAGAAATGGGGCCCACGTCGACAGAATCCACAAGAAAGCCATAGCTGCTGATGGTATGGGCAATTTACGGTTCTTCCAAGATCAACAAATAAGACAGGAACTATGACTCAAGCTTGGTGATCCATCATTTGTTAGATAATATGGGAATGTGGGCTTGAAATGGTGTTTTGACTTGAAATGGTGTCGTATGCTGCAATGACTACAGGATGTTGAATTTGTCCAACCGCTGCTGATACAAATGTATTCTACGTCATAAGTTTATGTCAAATAAAAATGTAACAAAAAATAAAGCGGAGAAAGAAAAACTTTTTTTTCAGCTTATCTTTGAACTACTTTGGTGGGAGCAGGTGGACTCAAGCCAGGTGGCTCATGTCTTCCCTGGTTCCCGATTGTGGGTTTCTTAGAGCATCCATCCCCAGTGGGAACCAGAATGTGTATTAGATATATTAGGGGGTCAGCACAGGGTAGTGGTTAGGAGTGCGGGACCGGGACTCAGACGACCTGGGATCTAGTCCCTGCTTGGCCATGGTGCCAACTAGGTGGCAGTCACAGACTCTCAGCCCAACCTACCTCACAGGGCTGTTGCTGTAGGGATAAGACTGGGGGGGGGAGAATGACGTAAGCCACTTTGAGTTCATTGTAAGACAGAACCAGGATATAAATATAATAGATAGATAGACAGATGGGGGCAGTGCTTTGGAGTGGTTTGAGTGTTGGAGTGGGACTCTCTGCCCAACCTACCTCACAGGACTGTTGTGAGGAATCCACTCTGGGTTCCTTGGAGGAGGAAGAATGTCAGGCGATAGATGCAATAATCACCGCCATTATCATTTTTTAAAAAACTCAGGAAGCAGGGCTCTTCTAAAATTGTGGTGAGAGCAGCCCGGCCGTAATGCTGGAGATGTAGAACTGAACCATGCACCTCCAAGGTCAAGTACTGACCAGATGGGCAGCTGGATTCTACTTGGCCATGGCCGAGAGGATGGCAGTTTCTACCACAGAAACCTCGGTCAGTGGACACAGGGCAGCGATGGGGCATCCACAACTCCACCCAAGGGACACATTCAAGCACACAAAACCAGTGTGGTGTAGTGGTGAAGAGTGGGGTGCCGGGACTCAGATGGTTCTAATTTCCATTCCACCATGAAGGTCACCGGGTGACTTTGAACCAGTCACTGCCTCTCAGCCCAACCTACCTCACAGGGTTGTCGTTGTGGGGATAAGATGGAGAAGAGGAGGTGAATTATGTAAGCCGCCTTGACTTCCCTGAAAGGGAAAAAAGCAGAATTTAAATAAATAAATAAACACCACTTCCTGCTTGCTTATGGCCCCCAGCACCCTCGCTCTGCCTAATCCTATGGCTGCAAGCTGTGATGGATGGGATACCCATATGAATGTTGCAAATGAAGTGGTGAATTTAGAAAAATGGAAAAAATGTATCTACTCACCAGCTAGGCTATTGTTACATGAAGCTTAATGTGTAAAGCCCATGAGTCACTACAAAGCAGGTATCTGGCCCCAACTTGATTTCTGTGGGTTCTTTTTTTTTTTTTTTTTTTTGCTTTTCATACAGAAAATAATCCAGGGATAAGAATTTACAAATGAAATATAATCATGTTATGTAAACATTACAAACTTCAAAAGTATTTCAGACAACAGAATGGATACCCAATTAGGGTTTAAAATATACAGTTTCCATCATATATAAAAACAATTAAAACCATTCAACACATCTGAATCCTTCTTCTTGGGGGTGCCCCCCGCCCCCCAAACTCACCGCCCAAGGCAATTCTGGGAATATCCTCACTTCTCTGGTACAGAAGTTAGTGCCCAACTTTAGATATTCTGGGTGCCTCAGGGGAACATTTTTAATACTGGCGCCCATGTCCAGTCCCAGTCAGTTTTCTCACCAGTTCTACCTGACCAATGCAGAGAACTGCAACATAAGTTTCAGAGGGCTGGGAGCAAAATGCCACCTTTGCAACTCTCTCCTTCCCGCGCTGATCCAATGGCCATCTCTCATTCTGCTGCCCCTGTATGGCCCATGGAAAACCTCCAGGGAGAGTCCCCGCCCCACCCAGTAAGTCTGGGCCTTGTAGTGCAAAGATATCTGAGGATCACGATCTACACAAAGTAATTCCATTCCCAGAAGCAGGCGAACATAATTCTTTAGGATATGGGATGATCTTTAGCGGTGGTGCAGTGTTAGAATCTCGATGCATTTGATTCTTCTTCTTCGACAGAAGGGAATGTTTGCAGCTGGCAGCGTTGCAGAATAGGAAGCCTCAACCCCGGCAGTCTTTTTCCCCCCACTGAAAGGATTTGACTTTTACCCACGCCCACTTCAGTATGAACCCCAGGGAGACTCCGCTCTGCGTCCCATCCTTTTACGTTTAAGATCCTGTGTGCACGCCTGAGATTCTTCGCTCTCCCGCAGCACACTCGCCTCCTTGGCGACAGCGGTCGTTGCTCTCTTCGGGAGCGAGGGCTGAAGGCGGGCGGGCAGGCAGCGGAGGGGCTTCGCCGCTGACTGGCGAGGGCCGCAGGAAGGGCCAGGGGGCCTTGGGCGGGGGGCGCCGCCGCCTTTGGCGCTGCAGAGCGGACGACGGAGCCAACGCAGGCGGGAGGTGGCGGCGGCGGTGCGAGGCGCGGGGGAGCCGGCGAGGGACAGGCGGGGCCAAGGCGAAGGTCTGCGGATCACCGCGCGCATCAACTTGCACGCACGCAGCGAGGCGCAGTCGTCGTCCGCCGCCGCCGCCGCCGCCGCACTCCAGCGCGCAAGTCGCCCCGCAGCCTCACGCCTCCCGCGACCATGAGGAGGAAAAGATGACGGCGGGAGCCCCGTTCTGCGCGCACGCTGACAAGCCACACAATGGCTTGCTTATTTGTTTAAATTTCACGTCCTGAGACAGAGGTGCGGGGCGTGTGCGCGTGTGCATGCGTGCGCGCTCGGGGGAGAGAGAGAGAGAGAGGGAAGGAAAGCAAAAAGAAAGAGGAAAAGCAAGCCTGGCGGTCCGGCAGGGAAGGATAGCGAGATCCATCGCCTCCCCTCCGTGCTTTTTCCACAGTGCGCCGTCCTCCTGGCGGGCTCCTCAGCAGGCGAGGGACGCGGAACGGGTGGACGAGCCACGGCCCCCCCCACCGCCCCCAGTTCGTGGGAAGGCACGGCTAAGGACTCGGTCTCACAAGCACCCCGCCAGGGGCTAGCACGCCGCGCACACACACACACGCGCACACGCCCGCCCGCCCGCACGCACGCGCCCGCTCGCGCCCACGGAGCAACTCCTCCGGCGCAACGAAGTCGCTGCCTCCCGCTAGGGGCTGGGGCTGAGGCTGCGCGGCGCCCCGCGGCTCTGCTCGCTGCTCTCCGCCCGGGCGTTTCCTTCGCGTCCTGCCGGGCAGGCGAGCCCGTTCCAAGCGAGGGAGCCGCGGGGAAGGGCGGGCAGAAGCGCCTCCGGGGGCTGCCGGCGGGGATCGGGCGCGAAGGCGGGCAGGAGGGGAGCGCGGCCCCGCGGTGAGGTCGGGGCCGCGGGGGCTCGTGGCGGGGGTGCTGCTCCTCGAGCGGCGGCGGCGGCTGCGCGGGGCGGGGGGGGGGGGAGAAGACGACCCTGGCTAGGATGCCTTTGTGCCCGGTCCTCAGCCCCGCCGAGGGGAGGAGGCGGAACTGCGCCAAAATCGACTGCCCGTCTGGCTGACTGCGGCCAGTTTGCGCCCGCGTCCGCTCGCTCCCACCTCTCCTAACTTCCCGGAGCGCCGGATTGAGATGCTGCCAGGTAACGCTACGCCGGCGGTGCTGCCCTCCGCGGGGCCCTGGCTCTGAGTGGGGAGGAGGGCAGGGCGAGGGAAGAGCGAGTCTCTTGACGAAGAGGGGGTGGAGGGGGGTGGGGAAAGGGGGTGGCCCGTAAGAGTCGGGGGGTGCACCGCGAGTCCGGAAGGGCAATAAAAGTCGGAGGAAACTACACACGGCCCAGAGGGAGTGCGACAAGAATAGGCGAAGGAGTAGAGGGGAAGGGGCAGAGGGGAAGTGAGGAGAAGAGCGAAGTATCCCACCTCCTCCTCCTCCTCCTCCTCTCCGGCGGCGACGGACTGCAGATCGGGGACTCTGGCTCGCCTCTCCGTATTATGTCTGCACTCCGAAGGAAATTCGGGGACGATTACCAGGTCGTGACCACCTCGTCCAGCAGCTCAGGCTTCCACCAGCAGCAGGCGTCGGCTCCGAAGAAGAAGCGCCAGCGGTTCGTGGACAAGAACGGCAGGTGCAACGTGCAGCATGGCAACCTGGGCAGCGAGACCAGCCGCTACCTGTCCGACCTCTTCACCACCCTGGTGGACCTCAAGTGGCGTTGGAACCTCTTCATCTTCATCCTCACCTACACCGTGGCCTGGCTTTTTATGGCCTCCATGTGGTGGGTCATTGCCTACATGCGGGGTGACCTGAACAAAGCCCACGATGAAAAGTACACCCCCTGTGTGGCCAACGTCTACAACTTCCCCTCTGCCTTCCTCTTCTTTATCGAGACAGAGGCTACCATTGGCTATGGCTACCGATACATTACGGACAAATGTCCGGAGGGCATCATCCTCTTCCTCTTCCAGTCCATCCTGGGCTCCATTGTGGATGCGTTTCTCATTGGCTGTATGTTCATCAAGATGTCCCAACCTAAGAAACGGGCAGAGACACTGATGTTCAGTGAACACGCTGCCATCTCCATGAGGGATGGCAAACTTACCCTCATGTTCAGGGTGGGCAACCTCCGCAACAGCCACATGGTCTCTGCTCAGATCCGCTGCAAACTCCTCAAAGTAAGTTCAAGCTCTCTCTATTAAGCACACATGCGTGATCTGTATGTGTGATCTTGATTTTGTAAGTTCACCCACATCTTTCCATGCCTTTCTTCTCCTCCGGAAAGCATGCATATGCCTTTCCCTCCTTTTACCCATCTGTGCATTAGTGTCTCCTTTGCATCCATTCATTCTTCTAGAAAACGCTCAGCACATTCTTTGCATTGGTTTTCCCAGCACCATTGCATTTGCCTTGCTATTTCCCAGCACGCCTCTTCCATGCTTCCTACTGCTGCACATCTGCTTCGGGTTCCTTTCTCTTTAAAGGCTTCACAGTGCTGCCTCCCTGCTATGTTCTTTCCCCTTAAACACAGATTTCCTGGCCTCTTCCTCAGTTAAGGTTGCATTTCTCATTTTAGGTTGTAATCTGAATTCACGTTAAGCTTTTTCCTGTCCATAGCCTTTAAAACTAAGGCATTCCCCCTCCTCCCTTACACTTCTTGTAGTAGAACCTGAAATAGTTCACCAGCAAAAGTTGTCCTGTGTCATTGTAGAAACTCATTAAACCACCTTTTTGTTCCAACCCAATAGATATTTTGCATTATCATACAGTTGCCACTTGAAGTGTGCAGGCTATATTTAGTATTTCTTCAAAGAACAGGAATAAAATATTTTTTCAGAGTTGACACCTTTCATCAAAAGTATTGATCTGTCATAAAAAAATAATAACCTCGGACCATAAAGGTAGTTTTCTACATTCAGTGAAGGCCAAGCTTCAAAAAATATGTGTTGTTCTTTGGGATGTCATTATTTCATATATCTTCCAAAGACCAATAAAAATTTAAGATATTTTATACATTCTTAATATCGGTTTGCCTTTCTTTTGATACTGCTGAGATAAACTTGATCCACAATCTAAATTTGATCAAAATCCTAAGAAAAAACATATTTCCAGGAGCTAAAGTATGTATGCAGTTCATTTGTTTAAAAGTACCAAGTTCTTTGAACACTCCAAAACACGATGGGTGCAGATTTGTCTTATCTCTGTCTTTGAGTGACTCAGTGTGTAGAAGATTATATCTGCTGTATAGCCTAAAAGGAAATCTAGTTCAATACTTTCTGCTTTGTACTTTGTTATGTACAGTATCAAAAAAAAAAAAAAAGATTGTTTGTGCCACATTGGCCTGGTGAAATGCAATGCTGATTGATCTCCTAGCTCTCAGAACTGCCCTGTGGGCTTGCATGTTCCTCTCTCCCTGCCAAATCATAGATTACAATCATGGTTACATGCAGGTTTGCAAACTGGTCCGGACTAACCGTAGTTGCTGCTAACATCACTGTAATGCCAACTCTAATGGGAAGGGGTTCAACATAAGATGCATGGCAGAAGAATAGAAATAGCAGTAGTATTATCTTCTGTAAATTTTTAAATATATTGCAAAGATGAAAATTTGCCCCTAATACAATGGGTCTTGCTTCTCTTTTCTTTCCATTCCAAAATCTGTTTTAAGCAGCCAAATTAGGCTCCTTTTTGGGGGTGGGGTGGGGGGGGTGGGAGAGGCATAGCTGTTGGAAATTCTTGTACGAGTGGAAAGCCATAATTGGATCCAACCCCATGACAGTTTTCATTGAGACTTACTATGCTATCTGCCTTGCATTTAGAGTTGATGCACATCCATTGACTTCACTGGTTTATGAATGAATGATTTAAGTGTCAGACATATGAATTCTGTGAGGTAACCTGTTGAGTCCAGCATGTTTGCTGGATGGGATCTTTAGTCAATAATGTTAACTTTTTTTTTTTACTAATGGAGCTCTGACTTTTAAACATGATGCCCCATCATTGGGTGAAAACAGATGTAAGATGAAGATAAAAGTCATAGGTTTACAGTTTAGTTGGTGCAATAGATTTTGTTCGGTCAAGAAGTAGTAGATTCTGTGACCTGTACTCATTGACTGAATGGTGAAAATATACTAAGGAAATCATGAGAAATTTAGCAAGTTGGAAACCACCAGGAAACCCTCCTTCAGCCGAGTCAGTACGAAGTTTTCTTTGTTACTTTATATGGATGATAGCCGTAACTGTGACATATAACGTATGAAGAAACTTTGCAGTACTTATTTCCAAAAGATGTTCTTACAGATTTTTCAAATTGGAAAGTTCTATTAATATTAATTGTAGTAACCACTTTCCACTTGTCATGCAAAGTGCAAGTTTATTCTTCTATCAGTAATTTAAAATGACAAAATAAATTATAGGTGAAATATTCTCATTAGTTTTTGTCTAGTCTTTAGGGGCATAATGTATACCACAGTGTGCACTTTCATTATTTATGAGATTTTATAATCAAGCTGTAATAACCAATTACATAGAACAAACTATGGAATTTAGCAGAACCTTGAGTGTTAATTAATTATTTCCCTGAGTTCAGATTTGCATTGCACACCAATTACTGTGTTGATTGATACATTATAAAGTTGCTCCTCTCTGTAACACTGACATGCCTCTGCATACAATTTACTAAACAGCTGAAGCTACTTTAAAAGTTACACTGCAGTTCCAACAATATGATCAACTTTAAGGAAGGCAACGCACCTTTTAGTCACATATCTATGCAGTATTTGTTGCCTAAGTACTATCTTATTCCTTCCATAAGATTTTACTAATATTTTTATTTATTGAATATGCTATATACAATTATGAAACAAGAACTTAAACCCAAAATATTAAGGATTAATTTAATGTACTAAATCCATACACACATTTTAGATACTTTGTGCCTTTTGGACATGATACGATAGGATAGCTTAAGCTGTGCTTCTTTTCAGAGGTCACACATGCACAGAAGTTTTGTGTGTTGCATATGTAAACTGAAATAAGGAATGGAAGGAGCCCAAGGAAAATACACTGTAATTTAGGCTGAAATAAAGGATTTTCTTAGGAAGTAACAAATGCGATTTAGTATAACGTAGCTGAAACCCTTGCTAGGAGACAAAAAAAAATCTAGATCTGGTGAGAAACTGGCAAATACATTTTTCCCTCACTCCTAAACACAAAGAAAGCTGGGATATATATCTATTGAAAACAATTCTTTGGTTGAACAAATTTGGATTTAAAGACTATCAAATCTATGCCTTTCACTTTTATAGCCACAGACACAGATTCTTACCCAAGAATGAGATCTTGAATCTATTTTGTCAATTATCTTCCTGTTCATTTATTGACCTGGTTCACATGGAATGGACACACCATGGTTTAATTTACTCTGGTTTGTTGAATTGTGAAATGTCATTATGTGCAAACCCAGATCAGTGGATTAATTATGGGTTCTGGTGTAGTGGTAAGAGCCAGTGTGTGTAGTGGTTAGAGTGTTGAACTGTGACTTGGAAGACCTGGGTTCTTGTTTTCTCTTGGCCATGGAACTCGCTGGGTGACTTTGGGTCTGTCACTGACTCTCAGTTTCATAGGGTTATTGGGGCAATAAAATGGAGAGAGAATGTGTAATATGCCTTGGATTGACTGAAATATGAAAACGTGGGACATAAATGTAACAGTAAATAATTGCTGAAGGGAACCCATGTTACTGGGTTGTGTACTGTGGGCTGTTCAGTCTATAGGTTGTCCTGTATGCAAATCTAGAATCATAGGTTGTTTCACCAGGCTATGGAGGAATTAAGCAGGGGAAGTCCAAAACCCTTGTTTTTTTCACATGTTGGTATTGCAGTGCTGCAAAGGCAGTTAGGATGCAGGAAGAAAGAGAGTTAGGATACAGCAAAGCAACAAACAACCCGGGGATGGGGAAAAATGACCAAGTGTTTTTTATCATCTGCCAGACAAATTCATAAGCCATGGTTTAAACAAACCATAGATTAGCATTATGTGCAAAATAGGTGCCTTTGGCACTATACCTTATCACATTGGATACCTTATCACATTGGATAAGGTATAGTGGAGTAAGATGTAGAAAACGTGAATTATGGTGAATCGTGTTTTGACAGGTGTAGTTTGTGCAATTAGATGTTGCAGTATCTGAACTGAGAGCACTCAGAAGGCTGACAGAAGAGGCAAAGTAAATTTTGCATAGATGCATAGTTTACTGAATGGAGTTACAGACTATTTTGATTTCTTTACAAATAAAAGGAATATGTACACACATGGACAGAAATACACTTTCCTAACAGGCTAGGGAAAACAATAGCATAACCCTTAAAATTAAAAGAGCAAAGCAAAAGTCATCACTTGCATGCATCTTTGGCCCAGTTTTAATACCTTTACTTAAAAACATTGTCGCTTTCTCAGTGATATTAACATTATGCCCTTCAATCCACATTAAAAGTAGCCACTCATACCGGGAGAAGAAATGTAACAGTGGAGGTGTTTTTATTTTACATTTTGATGCATTTTGATAGTTTTATCCATTCAGTCATCCAGAGATGGCTCTTCCAGTGGCTCCAGCCTTTGGGTATTCCTTAACCTATGTGGAGAGCTCTGCCACACATGAGTGAGGGGTAGGCATGAGTATGGGGATGATTACACAGTTCCTGTTCATTTCAGTGTTTGCACCATAAAGGGGCTGGGATGGCTGCAAAATCCACTCCTAGCTCTGAAGTGGTGGAAGCAATGTATGAATCAGAACAGGAGTGAAGAATGTTCCAAAAGGACAATGCCCTATTTGTTTAATTGATTTGATCTAGTTTTATAATAGCCATTTCCAAATTCCATGCACTGCCTAATTGACGGCAGTCTTATAGGACCCAGTCTTATAGGACCCACTACATTGGAAGGAAGGGTCACAGGATATGTGGCTGCCGTTCTTACTAGATAGATATCAGAATGCATAAGGGCAATAAATACTAGCAAGAACAGAGGGATGCATCAAGGTAGCCAGTGTAGAGTCACGGTAGAGAAACTTGAAGTAGAGTTCAACTTCTTACTCAGCCATTAATTTTATTGGGTGTCCTTGACCCAATGGTGTCCTTGGTGTTCTCAACCAAACATACCTCTTAACATTGTTGGCATCTCAGACTAATGTCTTAGCCCATGTACACCATGCTGAATTGGTTCCTCTAAGAAAGAATATTAACATAATGAATTGAACTAAATAAATGAAAACAAAGCAGATGGGACAATCCTAGATCCTTAGTCTGAGTGTTAGTGGCCACAGACATTTACAGGATTTAATACAGTATGTTACTTTTGTAATTGTAAGAGAGATTTAGTTAGAAAGTGGAGCAGAAATATAAGGAATGCATATTTGTTTAGCAACTTTACTTCCAGCTCCTTTCAACTAGAACTGGATGTTTTGCTTAGCTTCAGGCTCTGTCAGCATATCGGTCATTCTGTAGTATTAATTTTCTAATCGTAAGTATTGTAGATAATCAATACTTGCCGAACAAAATGCTACAACTGAGTCTTAAATGTATGGTATATGAAGATATATTTTAGCAAGCATTTCATGTTTAACGTATTTATGTAAAACTTATTATTGTATACCGCAGAGTCATATCTTAGAAAAGAGAAACATTCATGTAACCATACTTAATTTTAATTCTATATCATACTGGAATCCTGACAAATAAAACCTGCCAAATGTTGGGGTTTTTCTTCATAGTAACAGCATATGGTTTCAAAGCTAAACATTCAGGTATTTTAAAATATAGCCCTTTGTACACGTTTTAAGATCTGATTTAGAAATTGTTTGGGGATTAGCAATGGAATATCTTAAAAACAGATTTAAAACTATGCTGTTAACATAATTTATTAAAGCATAACTTCTTTATCTGTGAAAGGGTATAGAATTATGCTTAGGTTGCAGTTTTGTCCTAAAAACACTTACTTTGAAATAAGTTTCATTTACACACATTTTAAAAGTTAATTAAATGATATTTTACTAATTTGTTCTACTAGACATTATTATTGGGGGTGGGGTGGCCCAAGTATCCTCTCTCTCTCTCTCTCTTTTTACAAAAGAATATCAGTTGAAGTGTTTTTTCAAGTACAAAAAACTATTACTTAACCAGTGCTTCATACACAGCCACCAGCTTTGGCAGGTTTTTAAAAAGAGTCTGCAGGTGGCCATTTTTCAGTTCTTCAGGGCACGCTCCCCACCCTTCTGACCACTCTGAGTTGCAACATGCTGATATTTCCAAAGCCCTGCTGGCTAGCTGGAAGTGGGACAGAGGCATTGGCCACTCTTCTTCCATTTATATTTTGGCTTGTTTCATCTATTTCTTTCCATAACAGGCAACGGGAGGAAAATCATTTAGGTACACTCTGGAAGTGATCTAAATGTCCCTTGTTTTGGGGACATGGCTGGGGGCTGGGAGGACTTTGGATCCTTTGGATTCAGAGCCTGCCTTGTTCTATCCTAATGGAACAGCACATCCTAATCTGCCCCCTTCCTGTCTCTCCAGCATTAGAAAGGTACAGATATAGATACTTCCATGGGGACAGGGAGTGGGAAGATGCTCTCCTGCAAGATCAGAACTATCTTCAGTCCTGGAGCAGAAATTCCAATCTAACCTATGTTTCACGGGATTCTATAGGATTATCCCCCTGGTTACTTTTAATGAAAGTACCTTGACCCTTATAAGAGCCCCAAACCATTTATATAAAGGGGAAAAAATAAAACATCATCAAATGATTGAAATCTTAACATCAGAAGGAGCACCCTGTTAAACATCATGACAGCCTCAACAGAATACAAGTGTTTTTGCTGCCTGCTGCATGGGGGTTTGCCTCACCTCCCTTGGGAGGGGATTCCAACACTGGGCAGTGCGACAGAGGAAGTCTTGTGCTGCTCTCACATTCATTCTAGGAGAGAAATTTATATCCCCGGTATTCAGTATTGATGTCCCCAGTAAATTAATGGCTAACTGGGTAACATAAATTCTAATATGAAGGAAAGTAAATCTTAATTGTATTGTGTGTCCAATGGGTTTTTGTAGTTATTTGAATCAAAAGCTTTATGTATCTCTATGGAAACATATTTATTCAAATATCAAAGAATATTAACATGGTAACCAAATGTGAGATGATAAATATGCAGAATGGTAATTGTAGTGAGCAAAACATTCCCAAAAGGACTTCTAAGAATTGTTCCAGGGGCATGTTTTTTGTATGATATTTCTGAGCTGTCCCAAATGAAGAAGTCAAGATGAGATCATGTGTTGATGTCCCGACAGCTCTCGGCAATGCCCTTATATTATTCTTGATGATCTGTTCCTTGATGGAAAACAAGTAAAGGAATGTAAACTCAGCTCTCTTTAATGATAGACCATTAATTTTATCAAACTCCCCAACTATGACCTGGGAGTAATACTCCTGTTTCATTTTTTTTTTTGATCAGCATTTGTAACTAATAGATTTCCTTAAGCTCCAAAAGCAATATACTTAACTTTTACATTGTATGTGATGTTTCTGCATTTGGCCTCTGTTGCCTTTGGATTAGCTGAAGCGATCATTAATTCACTCCTTTAAACTATTTCACCTTATTTTTCCCTATTCATGTGTGCACATCATTCCCTATCCACAGCTGTTTACACGTTTTTAGACAATTTCATGACCCACTGGTTTCACCTCTGTTTTTAAGTATTCTTTCAGTGAAGATTTTTTTAACGAGCACAGAAAAATGTATTATTTGTAAACATGGAATAAAATGCCTTTTCTCCTTATGTATTTGTGCTACAGCTCTAGAGGTTGTATTGTGGCAAAGTTGAAAAGGAAATGTTGTTTGTGTAGTACTCAGTTTCAATTTTGCAATGAAACCAAAACAAACATAGTAGATTAGCAGCCTAAGAGGTCAGGAGGCAGTCTTGCAGATATCCTGGCCCTAAGTCCTTAACCAGAATATCCTAAGCTTTATAGATCATTCCAGAATCTTGAATTTGGCCTTTGAAAAAGATTGGAAATTAGCACAGCTGACATAAGACCAATGAAATGTGTTCTGAAAAGCATGGATCATTCTGACTACCATATTTTGTACAATTTTACCACTTCTAAACACTTGTTAAGGGCAGCCTTACATAGAGTGCATTGCAACAATCCAGCTTGGAGCTGACTGAAGGGATGGATCAACGTGGGCAGCCCTGCCTTTTCCAGGAAGGAGCACAGTTGGTGAACTACCTGAAGCTGGCAGAGGCATTTTGGGCCACAACAGCCACTGAAGTATCCAAGAGAAACACTTAGTTCAGGAATATTCCCAGGTGGAGAACCAGATCCTTCAAAGGGAATGCCGGCTTATGCAGAACAAGTTGTATTTCTCTTCTGAGTTAGTTTGTTGGCCAATGGTTGTTTTGTCTTCAACTTGTTGGCTGTCATCCAGGCCATCACTGCATCCAGGCAGCATTGCAGAACACCTAAACCCTCTTCGGTATTTATTGAAAAAGAGAGCTGGAGCTGGTTATGTCTCTATTTTGAAAAGATCCAGCCCAGATTACCCCAGATTACTTCTCCCAGTCATTTCATGCTAATATGAATGAAGATAGGAGATAGAGTAAAGCCTCTATAAGAGGCTGAGCATTATTTTCTTGGAACGAGTTTCTAAGGTTTAGTTTGGTGTGACTACATCAACCATCTAGTGGTACCCCGCATCACATGCCAGCTAAATGTCACAGAATGTCCCATGACTGATGGTATCAAATGCTACCAAAAGGTCCAGCCAACCCAATGGAAATACACACAAAATACTCGTTTTTAGTTCCTGGCATTGGTCATCTTTCAAGGTGACCAAGGCTGTTTAGTTCCTGCACTGAGTAGGAACCCAGATTGGGAAGGATCTAAGTACTTTAAAGGCTCTAAAGACTTGAGTTGCATAATAAGGAATAAAAAGTCCCATAGCTTTCAGAGGAAACATTTTTCAGGGGATATATTGTTCTAACAGTTATGACTACTGTGTACCTCATTGAAAAGCATTTTAAAAAATTATTTCTCTTATGTCTGTTCTTGATTTTCTGTTATTGTTTTTGTTATTAAAGTTTGCCTGATGGGAACATATGCAGATAGTTTGGCCAAAGTGTTTGTGATTTATCCACTTTGAACTACGGAAGCCAAGGAAGTTATTGCAATTCCATTCTTTGAGTTCTTTTGTTCCATGAGATAATAGCTACAATCCCAACAGAGCTAATTTACTTATAGGCAGTTTATATGTATGTACTTCAGCTTAACTAGGCAGAGCAGTTTGTACTGAGGACTGAGAATCTGAAATGATGATGTACCAGTAAACAGTCATAAAGCATAATAACATGGTCTAAATTTAAGACCTGACCTTGTTCAGGTTCAAAAGACAACCTAAAATTTTGGCAGAATTGTCCCTGGGCAGATCTTCCATTTTGGAACCAGCTGAAATTTTGTAATAGGACAGTTTTGCCTTCAGAAAGCAAAACTGCTAGTGGATGACCAAGGGTGGATAGCTGTTTGAACAAAAGGTCATTCACGTGGAATCAGGTAATGGACATTCCATAGTAATGCAGACGATGGGAACACAGAAGCCCAAACACTTGTAAAGGGAACACAGGAAAAGTGGTATGCATTGTATATTTTCTGCCAGCATTCCCTGCCATGCAGACTACTTTGGGTGCCCCAGTGGCAAATTCAAAAATAATGTTCATCCTTTTTCTGTCACTTTAACAACCACATTCTGATGCCAACACTTCTGCAGATCTCATAAGCTACTGAGCTTTTAATTATAGTAAGATGCATTTATAAATAATTCATGCATGTTCTGTAATGTTTGGCTTTTTCCCACCCCCTTTAAAATAACATTGCTGCATAATCATTTTGTTAGGAGCTGTTTTTTGGATGATTGATCGTGCAAAATGTTGGCAAGGATGTGATGTGACTTACTGTCAGACTGTCTTGAAAATCACAGTACTAGTTTGTGATTTCTCTCTCTTTCTCTCTCTCTTTCTTTCTTCATGTTTTGTTTAGTCTCGGCAAACGCCGGAGGGTGAATTTCTCCCACTCGATCAACTTGAACTGGATGTAGGTTTTAGCACAGGGGCAGACCAACTTTTTCTTGTTTCACCACTTACAATCTGTCATGTGATCGATTCGAAAAGTCCCTTTTATGACCTTTCTCAGCGAAGCATGCAAACCGAACAGTTTGAAATTGTTGTCATCCTAGAAGGGATCGTGGAAACAACTGGTGAGTAGAGCGATATCAAAGGTGATTGAACCATGTATTTATGTTTAGTTTCAAATATTCCTTCCTCCCTGTTGCACAAAAAAAAAGTGAAATTGGATGGTTATTTCAGTATAAATGAATGTTATGGGCAAAGTCAACAAAATACTTAGATTGAATATTATGCATATGTTTCACAGTGTTCCTGTCCGAACGTGTTGGGGAAACATTTGTGTGGTTTTGTATAAGATGGCTCCATGGCATGTTGCTTTCCCTTTGTTTGGTCTCTTCTATTTAAGGAAGCTTTTTCTTCTGTTTACACACAGTATAAGCTATACCAGCATAACTGAATTGACCCATGAGAGATGCAGGTGAACATAGACTGGCTGCTGGAATGCTAGAACTACTGTGATGCCAGGTTCTTATTGCACTTGGTTGTGGACGTAGTGAAAAGAAATCCCAGGAATTATATTTCTAGTTGCAATCATTTTTATGCTCTTGCCTCCATGGCAAGCATTCCAAAAGTGCTCCCATGGGGATTCTGCACTGCACAGTTGGCAGTTTGAGTGTCACCAAGTTGATGCTGCACAATACAGTGCCCCCCCACCCAATAACACCATAAATTAAACTTCTGGCATCATCTTCATATGTCTACCCAAAAGTGAATCCCATTGAGTTCATTGAACTTTATACATGGGTTTAGGATTGCAGCTTCAATCTGTATAATTGAAGAGCAGTAAAGGTAAAGGTTTCCCCTTGACGTTAAGTCCAGTCATGCCTGACTCTAGGGGGTGGTGTTCATCTCAGTTTCCTAGCCAAGGGAGCCAGCGTTTGTCCACAGACAGTCTCCGTGGTCATGTGGCCGGCATGACTAAACACCGAAGTGCATGGAACGCTGTTACCTGCCCACCAAAGTGGTACCTTTTTATCTACTTGCATTTGCATGCTTTCGAACTGCAAGGTTGGCAGGAGCTGGGACGGAGCAACGGGAACTCACCCTGTCGTGCAGATTCGAACCGGCGACCTTTTGATCAACCAGTCCAGCAGTTTAAGCCACTGCGCTACCTACATCCCTTTGAAGAGCAGTACATATAAGAAATAAATATAACCAGTGCTTTTTTTGTAAAAAAAATGGTGCCGGAACTCACGTCGCCGCCGGCAGTAAGCACTCACACACCAGTCCCAAGCCGAGCAGCATCCCAAGCTGAGCAGCGCCCTATCAGCACGGACAGAAAAGCAGCCTGCAGGCACTATGTTAATGAAGTTTGCTGCTGACCTGCTACGCCAACAGGAGATTCAAAATCACTTCGTAAAATCCATTGGAAAAAAAGGTGCCGGAATGCCGTTCCGGTGCGTTCTACGACAAAAAAAGCCCTGAATATAACATATTTTTTTTCTTTTTAAAAGGGAATACTGATCCAAAGTTTGTATTTTCAAAATATGACACAACATACCATTAATGAGGAAAGCAGTTCATTATGATTAGAAATGAATCCCACTGGCATTTGTATTCCCTTGAGATTTGCACTTGCTCTGCAGCAAGAGTTCCCTGCCGCAAGGCACACAGCGGTCATATGATCCCGGGTCTGTGTACATGTTCAGTGCAGTTGGATATTGGGTCTGCAGGCAGCCTCTGCATTCTCTTCAAAGTATGTCCTTGCAGCAATCTTGCATGGGACAAAGGAGTGTGTTCCTTTGTGCTAGCCATTCTGGTCACTAGAGTAAGTTGCGTTGGAGAGGCATGCCTGCAAAAGGGCCTGGAACTTACGACCAACACACACACACTTCTGTATGGGTACAATCGTATGTACTGTTCATATATCCCACTTGGTCATCCCTTTGGACTGATCCATTTGCTTCCCAGGAGGTCATAGAAATTTATGCTGGCACAGCCTCCCCTGTTTGTTTGGGTCCCCCTTTCAGTGCCTGTGAAGCCCTCAGGTTTGTCAAGATGCATTGGGATTGCTTACTGTGGTAGATGAGGTTGTTCTTTGTTTTGGCTTCAGTTTTGAACTTTTATCCATGAATTTGCTTGATTTTAAATATTCTTGATGTTAGATGTAGTAACCGCCCAGTTCATGAATCATGTGAAAACTCTTGGGTTGTTTAACCAAGGGATTGACAGAGATGAGTGAACAAGCTGTTTCCACATTTGTTTATCTATTTTTTGTGCCACCCAACAGTTGAATCTATCTGGGTGATTCACAGAAGCATATTAAAAAAACAATATAAAATATACCAAAAACATTATAAAAGTTATAATGTTTAAAAGTTAAACATTATAAAACATAAAAGTTAGCAATACAAAATTTAAAACCAAATGAAGACAGAAAAACACTTCTGAAAAGGTTCTTCTCTTTGTTGGCACCATCTGAGTTTACCTTGGAGGAGGCAGTCAGAGACAAGTCCCAGAACTTGATTAAAATGTCCAGGTAGATAAAGGTCAAGAGAGGGATTCTTTCAGGTGTTATGGTCTCAAACCATGTAGGGCTTTATAGGTTAAAACCAATACCTTGAATTGGGCTTGAAAGTATATCGGCAGCAAAAAGTGAAAGTGGCCAAAATTGGTGTTATAAGACTGTTTGATCCCTGTTATTAGTCTGGCTGCTGTATTTTGCATGATCTACAGCTTTCCAACAGTCTTCAAGAACAGCCCTACGTAGAGTGCATTGCAGTAGACTAGTTTAGAGATTACCAGAGCGTGCTAGATCATTGATAGCAGACTATCTCTGTCCAGGTAGGGACATAGCTTAGCTTTCAGCCAAAGCTGTTAGAAGGTACTTTAAGCACTGGGACTACCTGGGCCTCAAGTGGCAAAATGACCCGAGAAGTACCCCCAAGCTATGAACCTCCTCCTTGAAGGGGGGAGTGTAACCCCATCTAGAACAGGTCAGATTCCCTCCATCTGGTCAGAAGAACCACCCACCAACCGCATCTCAGTCTTGCCTGGATTGAACTTCAGTTTCTTAGCCCTCATCTAGTCCAGGTGGAACACATCCACAGCCTCACTTGCTGAAGATGAAAGGGGGAGATAGAGTTGTGTGTTATCAGCATATTGATAACAACACATTCCTGAACACCAGATGACCTCATGCAGTGGTTTCATGTAAATGTTAAATAACATAGAAGATAGCACTGAACCCTGGAGGATCCAAGAGACAGAGCAATGTCCTCAAGCAGCACTTTCTGGAGTTTTACCATTCAAGTAGGAGTGTGTCTCACATCAAACTCAGACAGTTGCCCCAGAAGGATACCATGGTCAATGTATCGAAAGGTGCTGAGGGGTCCAGGAGAACCGACAGGTTGTTTCTTATATGTGAACCCAGAGGTTTTAGGATATTCATGGGTTAAACAACCTAGAGAACAATTACCCATGGTTAGCTGACTCTGAATTGTTTAACTGATAAGCAGTGCTTGGGTTCACATGTCATAAAACAAATGAAGATTGGGGTGTTTCTGGTTGTTGATAAAAATAAAAAGTAGCTCACACACAGCTGCAAGCTTCATTAATCCCTGCGGGTTCCTAGGTTAAATAACCATTGTGACATGTGAACCAGGTCAGTAAGTAAGGATTTGCAGGGGAGCCATATGAAAAGTAATGCATAGAGAGATGAGATAGTAGGATAAATAATGCAGAATATAGTGGGAATGAAAGGCAAAAGAAATGGAACTCAGAAGATTCACCAGCCTGATGACTAGCAATGGTAAATGGAAAATTTAAGCTGAGTGCAGAATCAAAGATGATTATAAGGAAATTTAATAGAAAAGGGATGATAATGTAAGTGGACAGAGATGAAAATGGAAACTGATCTCGCGTGTAAGAAATATACATTGGGTCCCTGCACTATGGATAGTTATTATTGGATTTATTTCAGAGAAGAAAAATGGCAAGTGATATAAGTAAAGAAACTGAATCCAACTTGCAGACTGGGTAATAAATCTCCATTAAGCAAAGAAGGTTATGGAAGTTAAATGTAGCTCCATATGTTATAGGCATCCTGACAAATAGCATAATACATAAAGCGATTTACTCTTGCCCCCAAATTAAATAGCAAATACTGCCCTTGCTGCCACTCTCTCCATTGGCCAGTAATTGCTGGGCCGTGATGTCTTCAGCATTCCTTGGCCTTGGGCGTTTGGCAGCAGCAGCAGCAGCTTCAAACAAGAAACCCCTGGCTTGTGGTCACAGATCATGTGGATCATATCCTAGGTGAGATGACTGCCTTCCTGGAACTGCTTCTGACAATTGGACAATATGGTGTCTAAAAGACTGCAGCAAAAGCTCTTTCCATGCATCACTGCTGCCAGGTTGCTCCTGCAGAAGTAACCCCAAAGGAAAAGAAGCACCCTTTGGTTGTTGCTATGTTGTGGGTTCGGTTGCATGAGGATGCACATAAGTTTGAAGAGGATTAAAGCCTCTGTCTCTCCACCGGAGAAGTGGGCATGAGATAAGGTGAGAATTGAGCTGCTGTGAGTTAAAGGTTGGGCCACCAGTAACTTTGGAGACCCTGTGCTGCATTTTCAGAGTGGAATTTAAATCGGTTGTCTTAATAAACACTGTGTAAGGATGCATTACTTCCCCTTCGTTTGGATTAGATTATTACTTGTATTTTTATGGTTGATTTAGTAATACTGATACTGATGTGAATCCTTGGATCCCGTTTATATTCCTCTACCCATCAGATGCTTTTGCTGGAAAGAGGGTGGAATAATTGTCACTGATTCTCTTTTCCTCATGCAGTCCCCTGAAAAAGTGCTGTGAGGTGCTTTGGGTGTAGTCTTGTGGAAAATCTTGTACAAATAAACAATATGATCATACAGGGCTATTTCGGATGAGGATTTATTGAGGGATCACTGTATTTCATATGAGGGTTCACTCATATTTCATGGGCGATCTTGTTGTGTTTTTGAAATCTTCCTGTGTTTTCCTAGTAATTTCCCCAATTTTTGCTCAATGGATAATCCAGTATGGAAGAAAATAGCAGCTTAACTGCTCATGTTTTGTGATGGTGTGGACTGTAAAC